GGGGGGGGGAAGTGAGGAGTGGGAATGGTTTGGGTGTTGGTGGTTTATCGTATAAATTGCAAATATCAACTCGACATTTAGTAAACACCTACAATTGTAATTGGAGCTTGGTTCGATGATTTGGGACGATTATAATGGGTTGGATCAAAGACACATTTTCTATATATCTCTCTCTCTCTCTCTCTCTCTCGCACTTTGTATTTTATACGATCGTCCACCCTCTATTGTGTGTGATACACGTATTGTATACACCCGATGCGAATTGCATATAAGCTATAGGTACATAGATATTCGTATGGATTTACCAACGTTAAAGAGAGGGAGAGATACAGAACGCGTTATTCCACCTCTTTGACATTTCGTTGGTGGTATATAGGACACAGTATACCTTTAAGCATAAACCGTGTGATGTACCTTGAGCCACTATCTAGTATATCCGTCCGTTAGAAATGATAATAGTCACACGGGGCTCTTAATTAAATGTTAAACCGATAGAGGTGGCATACTTGGGGTGTACTTAGTGGGCAACAATAAAAAAGAAAAACAAAAAAAAAAAGAAAAAGAAAAAAGCTCGAACGTACGGATAATTTTGTTCTTTTCTTTTTTTCTCTTCCTACTTATATAAAAGAAAAAAAAGGAAAAAGAGAGAGAGAGAGAGAGAGAGAGGAAAAAACACCTAGTCGTTGGAGTTTATTGAATTATTCGTTCAGGTACAGGGGGGCTCTACCATCGGTGGCAGCAACGTTGAGTAATTAGAAAAAACCGCAAAGCGAGTACTCGAAAAGAGGTGTGCTATATATTCGATTGGAAAATGTTCTATCTTTCTATCTTTCTCTCTCTCTCTCTCTCTCTCTCTCTCTCTCTCATTTGCAATTATTTTCTTTCTCTTTTTCCTTCTGTTGACATTTATTTTTAAACGAAATTACAGCTCGGCCAGAGAAAGTGGCAAGCGGTTTGAACGGAGGATGAACAGAACAGAACAGAACAGGGGGAAAGGGAGGAGGGGGAGGAGGAGGAGGAGGAAGGATGATCGAAAAGGTCGGGTCATAGGAAAAATGTCATTACAAGTAACACCGAAAGAAACTTATCGGAAAATGTAATTTTATGGGGTGGATGGGAACATTGATGGTCGAGATATTGCGTAACTTTGCATATTATCTATGCATACAGGTACACGTTAATATTCTTTTAACGGTTGATACGTGTACACCGTCGTATCACGAGAAACGCTTGTCTTATTTATGTGAAAAAAAAAAGAAAAAAAAAAAAGAAAAGACTGAATGGAGGGTTGGAACGAAGAAAATATCTTTGACGAAGTAGTAGGGGTGTCTGCTTCCGTCTTAAGATCCGCGAAGATGAGGCCCCCTACTTGTGCCAGGTAAAACTTTCTTTCTTTCTCTTTTTTTTTTTTTTTCTTTTCTCTTTCGTTCAACTCTTCGTAATCTTTCCATCATTTTTTCATCGTTGATACGTTAGCTACGAGAGTAGAGAAGATGATAGTAGAGAAAGAGAGAGAGAGAGAGAGAAAACAAAAAGAAAGAAAGAAAGAGCCTAAGGGTGCGAGAAAGAGAAGAGAAACTAATCGATTTTGAAAGAACAGTGGAGTGGGTGGGTGGGTGGTTTGTTGGTTGGTTCGTAGAGAGGGTTGGGGTAAAGGAGATAAGAGAAAAGGAAAGTGAACGTTTAATGTTTTCTCGAAGGTGACGTCTCTAAGGAAAAGGAAAAAGTTTCAACGATCTCCTTGTTTTTAGCTTCTTTTTCTTGTCCTTCTTCATCTCCTTGTCCTTTTTCTTCTTCTTCTTCGTCTACTTTTATATTTACTACTACTACTACTACTAATACAACTATTGTTATTTTTTAATATGGTATAAGAGAAATCAAGGATCCCAGTACGGCAAGCAGCAACATCGAGGGAAGAGCCTAGCCTCAGCTACGCCCGCTTTGTGTGCTACCTCGAACGAACGCCCACGTTCTCTTTTAATTCAACCCGAAGAGTGCGCTACCTGCGCATTCTCGAGTATATTTTAGTATGTGTGTGTGTGTATGTGTGTGTGTATGAACTATGTCTCCCAGGAACGTCTGCTCGATATGGTGACGTCGACTACGTCAGCGTAACGTCACGCTTTTATCAATCCCACCCTTTCCCTTTCCCTAATACAACAACATCACCGTACTACTCGATCGAACCCTTCCTTCTTCTTCCTTCGCGCCTGACACACACGATTTTTCTTCTATTTTCTTTCAACCCTTGCGCTTGCATTCAAGAATATTTACAGAAGTACAAGAATAAAAGGAGGAAGTAGTAGTAGTAGTAGTAGTGGTGGTGGTGAAAGTAGAAGAGAAATAAATAACAGAATAGCCAAGAAAGTAAGAAACAGAGGGTTGTTGTTTCGTCGGCACAACAGCCGCCATGATCTGCATTGCGACGTTGTAGTAGTTGCGTCATAGCAAACTTGTTTTCAGTGAGTAGTAAAAACAGCAAAACGTAGTCTTCTTTCATGATTGCAAACTTTTTTCAATTTCTTTTTTATTTTTTTTGTTCTTCACTAATGTTAGTCAAATAAATTGGAACTACAGTTTTCTTCGCGTTTTTCTAAAACCAACCGAAATAATATTTAATATTTACATATATGTAAATTTATTAAGGTGTTTATATGTGTTTTGATGTTTGTATAATGTGTATAATAATAGAAGAGAAGAATTTTGGATTCGTAAAAGCTTTCCTTCTCGTTCTATATCACGCGAAATTGTAGAAAGTCCTTTCTCCTTTCGTCCTATCTGTGAACGACGAAACTTTGAATACGCGTGACGTCGTGAAATGTCGGTGACGTTCGAGCAACTTGCCGATGGGTCGTATTGAATGAGACTGGGGTCTGACGTACAATGGTTTGCCTACCGATGGAGCATCCTAGTCGCCAATCAAATTCAAATACGTTTTCCTTTGAAATTCTGCCGAACATAGATAGTGCTGCCATCCAATGATTTTTACCTGAACTTATTTATCAACTATTCCACTTATCCATCAATTTTTATCATTCCAGACTTTTATTACAAATTTCTACTCTATTTTTCATATATATATATGTTTGTGTAATTGTTAACAAGGTAAAAAGATTAAAAAAAAATATTTATTTTACCCTGTAAATCGTTGTAATGTAATAATAAACAATTGTAATATAAGATCAATTATTTCAATCCTTGTTTTGATTTAATATACCCACCCTTACGATGAGCTGGAAAATATTAATGGGTGTAGATAATGTATTATTTAATGTAATATAAAATGTTTACTTTAATTTGGTATAAAAAATGTCTTCCTCTATCTAAGATTTGTCTTAGATCGTAAAGTTTATGCGATAAGTTTTAGATAGAGGTGTCTTACTTTCGTTCTACACTTCAAGCACGATTAATATTCTCACGGTGTTCTCGTGAAAATCGTAACTTCAGACTTTCGACGATTATCCAACGACGTATGCGAACATCCGAGAGTAACTTTCGAGAGGATCTTGAAGGTAAGTTACGTGACTCAAAGATGGCTCCAGCGGTAAAGAGCGTTTTAATCTTTTAATTAAAGGATGGAAGAAATATCTCTACCTTTTCTTTAATGAGATATGCGAACAGAAACAAACACACCTCTCAAACATTTATTTCTACATAGAAGAAATTTTTCGGAATATTGTCTTTTTTCTAAAAGATTAAAAAGAATCTAGTCAAACGAAGAAAATTTAACATTATCTTTTTATCTTAAACATTAACAAATCCTCTAATATTTATCTTTCATCCAATGTAAGTGGAAAATGTCAATGCATTATC